TTACTTCAGATAAAAATAAAGCCACAACAAGATACCACAAAGAAATGGTATGTACTCACCTAAGCTTGAGGAATATAAGGTCAATGGATGTTAAATGGTTTTCTTTAGAGCAGGACTTCTCAGAGCTCTGGATATGGTAATGTGCATAGTGAACATCAGAGTTACAGAATTTTGTATAGTTTTTTTTTAACCACAGAGCACCTCAAAGAATTATATTTTCAAAGAACACACTCACACTTTGGGGAAAGTTTGGTGGACTAGAGGATTGCTCAGGCCCCTGTCAGTTTTAAGAATAATAGCTTTTGAAGCAGAAGCTTCATGAACAATTGTTACATCTGTTGTTGAAACCCTTGCTACTCAAAGTGCGGTCTGTGGAATGGAGAGTTTGTTAGAAATGTGGATGCTTAGGTTCCAACCCAGACGTGCTGGGATAAAAAGCAACATTTTTAACAAGATCTGCTGCTGATTCATATGCACATTAAAGTTTGAAAAACTCTGGTCTAAGGAAAGTCAGCCTTTTCACTAGATGGTTGATGATTTTCTGCTGAGGTCTACAGGCTGGTATGTCTTTCCTGAACACAGGTCAAGAGACATTGTCCTAAAGGTGTCTGCCTGCGTGGGCAGCCGGCCATCTCTTATCTCCAGTGAGGTTTCTCAGATGCAAAGGAAGACGTCTCTGAAGCTTCAATCAGGATCCCATTACAGTAGTGCTAGAAGCAGTTGGAAGCATTGCTGAGCTTTGCTCTGTTCTTGTGCCTATTTCAAATCTTATTAAGCCAGGAAGTGTAGTGCCTGGCAAATGGTTTATTCTGCTTTGGCTATTCATGCTTCACAATTCATTTTTATTGTGCTAATTAAACCTCAAGTGATATTTCAAGTACAGATTGTTTTTTCCATTATTAAGTCTTTGGCCAGCATATTAATGTAGAATTAACGTGAGTCAGATGCTTACTCATTTGAGGAAGACTTTACATTTAAAAGATCTAGACTTGGCCAATTTTGCACAGATCCCTTTGGAAACTGCTATGACAGCATGATATAATTTCTCTGTAAATAAGAGGGACTCATTCTTCCCTCACAAATAGAAATGTAACTATTTTTTTAAATGAACCAAATTCCTAGATCACAGACATGTATTGGTGTTTATGGTCTGTGCTGACATGATTATATGCAGTTTGGGGAGGTAGTATAGAGTAGTTGTGAAGACCCTGAGCATGGGGTTCACATCCCAGGATAAAGGTTTGGGCAACTTTAGAAGATGGATTTGACTTTTCCAAAATTCATAGACTTCCTTAATTAAATGAGGCCAAAATACTTAATTTTAAGATTGGTTGTAAGGATTAAATAAAACAAAAACTTCAAGTATTAGAGAAGAGTATCTTTGTCTAGTGAATGCCCAGTGAGTGCTATTATTGTTGCTATAATTAAACAAATATTTTTAGAATTGTTATACAAGCTTAGGCTTGAAGGAAATTCTATTAGATATCACAGGGGAAATTAAGATTATGGCATAGGATTCTCTGCTGAGAACCTCTTTATTTTTACCCCTTCCTGCTGAGAATTTCTAAATTAGGAGATACATTTATAAAAGGTAGGGAATTCCCCCCATAGGTTTATACTTGAGGTACCAAGAGGGGTGTCTCCCAGCTCCATTTGCTGCTCCTGGCCATGGAGGCCTTGGGTCATCCCTTAAAAATAAGCACCATGGCAGGCCCTGGCTCTGTGGTCCCACAGTGTCAGCAGATAAATCTATAAGTACGAAGAAGATGACAGAAGAGTCAACAAAGCACACAAATTAATTGCAAGCCGGAGAGGGAATGGATGAGTAGTAACTGACTTAAACACTGAGAATGCTGGTTACCCAGCTGGCACTAGAGAAAAGCAAGGGGAAGCTTGGTTTGTGTTGTAGAACTACTACAAGGCTCATGAAATGATAGTACAGGGGATGCCATACACAGGACATTGGCTCGAAGTCTGTTAAGAAAGAGTTAATCACATTGTGTTCCATACATCCCAGGTGACTGCACCCCCACTCCCCAAGCAGGGTTATTCTCTAAAGAGCATAAAATGAAAGCCTTGAGGATCTTCAGATAGGGTTGAGGCTGTGAGAAACGTAAGAAAAATAATGGATTTACATACTGAATATTGATATTTCCAGCCTTCTCCCAAGGAGGACACTGAAAGAACATTATCTGAAAAATTGGACCAGTCCCTTCCCCCAAATTATTTAATAATACTAACCTCAGGGAGTACCGAGTAAGGAGGCCAATAATATTTTCCTCCAATGAAGCCAACAGTGAATAAATATGCAGTGCTTCTAATATCTCCTTCTTATGGATATGTGACTGGCCAAGGATCACCAACTGTTTGAGAAAATCTTACAATATAAAAAACAATTACAAAACAATCAAAGAGAAAGAAAAAAGTTACAAGAAACAAGGTTGATATGGAGAGAAAACATTTAAAAACAAATTATGATTAATCTCTCACAGAAGTCAGAGTAAAGACAGGGTGCTATAAAAACAGAAGGCCATTCAAGATCAAAAGATGAGTCTTAGAAACTAAATATGTGACAGAGTAATGAAAACCTCAAAAGCAGGTTTGACAGGTAAATCTGAGGAAATCTCCCTGTAAATAGAACAAATAGACACAAAGATGGGACATAGGAAGCAATGGATGAAAACATTTTATGGGATTCTAGAAGGTTCAACATCCAAATAGTAGGAGATCTACATGGTGAGAAGGCATTGCATCATAGTTGAATTGGCATAATTTTCTTTCTTTCTTAATGGTATATATTACAATGTTATAGCCTATGATTAGTGCTTTCTTAAATTTGACAAAATATAACTATTACATATGATGATTCAGCTGTTTGTAGGGTCCATATTTTTATAATAAACTTTACATCTACATCTAGACAACCTAAATTCACAGCATAGGTAAGGTGAAGACAGAGTATGTTGAGTGTGCTATGGGCATGTGGGCAGGCCTGGCCTTCTGTGTGAACGTGAGCCTTATATTCCATAGTTAAAGGTCAGCAGATAATGTTAACACAGAAAAATCAAGAAGTAGCAATATAAGCATGATATTTAGTGATGTAGGGATCCAGGTCTAAAAAAGAACTGAACAGACATGAAATGAGTGCCACTGGGGGAAACAGACTACTACTTATTACAAAGGAGACTGAATATTTCATAACAAGTTTTATAGATTTATAGACTCTTCAAACTCTGTGACTATATATTTTGATTTAAAAATATACATAGTTTTAAAAATGTCATCTAGATTATACCACTGAGTTCAAGGAGATTTTTCACTGAGTAAGCGCTTATCTTGCCTTCACACGTTCTTAATAAATTGGAAAGCTTAATTGTCATGGAAGTTGTCACCAAATTTTGGAACTAGAAGGATTTGGACCTAGATATTGTAAATGAACAGCTTAATTTTATAGAAATTAAAAGAAAACACAGGGACAGAGGAAATGACTCATCCAAGGCCACATGGTGTGAGTCAGATTTAGGGTCTTGGGCTCCTGAGTCCTGATCTAGTCCTCATTCCTGTTAACTGCACTGACTCTTGATCCCTCATATTCACTTCATTGTCCTGTAGAACTCAGAGTGTTAGGGGCCTTTCTGAAATGCCATGAAAGACATAACATTGCACTCTGTTGGATATGGACAGGAAGGAAGAGCTCTGAGGAAGTTACCCCAGTCACTGAAAACCAGAGCTTGTTGGGAAGTCCTCTGACAATGGTGGGAACACCACGAGATACGTGCTGTATAAATCTTCTTTCACTCTGGCTTTAGTAATAAAGAATAATGGCTTTGTCATTAAGGAGCACATCATAAAAGAAGGGTTTATACATACTATTGTGAAGCTCATGGGTCACAGAACGTTAGGTGGGTGGGTTAATTGCAATTTAACAGCCATTGAAGATGAATTGCCTTTTCTGATCTTCAGGTTACTCCTTAGTTAATCATGTGTCATAGTTCCATGGGACACAGCTGTGGGGGTGAAAGCGGTCCCAAGCAGAGCTTCTGACACCAAGCAAGGGACTAACTAGCTTGACTGGCAGGACCTGACATATTATTACACTCTCTGAGACCTGTCTTTATGTGAAAAATACTCTGATTCCTATATGGTTAAAAGCAGTGTAACATTCCATAAATGTGATTGTTTAATGAAGTGATTGCAGCATCAATAAGGGAAAACTAGCTTTTGAAATGTAGAAGTATTAAATTGATGCTCTCTTGAAATAGTGAAAAATGTTTATAAGGTTCAAAATTTTATCAGATAACTTAACACTTTCTCAGGATTTTTCCACAAAGAACTTTTCGTTGGAATAAGGATCCATCTACTTTTTTTCATCCTGTCATAAACAGGATGACCAGTTTTACCCATAATATTTAACTATGACTTACATAGCTTAGAAGCATTGTAATGCTGTCACGGTTCAAGCTTCATGTTTTTGAAAAATGCTTTGATGCTACATTTTATTTCCATAGTCTGACTCTTTCAAAATCCAGGTCTGGTAGTAGGTTAGATTTATGAGGTACTTAATGCAAAAAAAAATGGATTTATGCAAAAAATGTAGATGCCTCCCCCTGTTTTGTTCTTGATGATAAAAAAAGTGGAGGGAAGGAGATGGGGAGCAAAGATGGTCCACAGACAATGCCTGCTTTAGTAACGGTTGAACAGAAAAGGAAGTAGGGGACACAGTTCTGCAAACAAGTGTCTTTTAAAACAAAAAGTTATTCTGCAATAGTAGGTTCAAGAAATAGGTAAAATTTGTTTAATGTTATTATCACACATGATTGGTTCACATTAAATCTGTAAAGCTTATCAACTTGGCACTTTTTTTCAGATCAACATAAGTCAGTCTCAGAAATTAAATAAATTGCCATTAATTTTAAAGCATAAAGAGTTTTCAATTTATTGCTATATTTTGATAATGCATTTATTTGTATATGTCTCCATTTACTTTTTGTGTTGCACAGGTTTGCCGTCAGCAAATTTGGCTGCGCCGAACCTCACTGTGGAGGAAGGAAAGTCTATCACATTATCTTGTAGTGTTGAGGGAGATCCAGTTCCGAATTTGTACTGGGATGTCGGTAATCTGGTTTCCAAACATATGGTAAGGCTTGTCTTTGGCTTTGTGTTCATAGACAGATGACAGAGTGTCTCAGAACTTGAGGTTGTATTAACCTACTGATAACCATTTAATATTTTATAGAGCCACATACAAGGAATTTTTGGTGTGTCTTTGTATTTATTCTTAATTAACAAAGACTAATGCAGTTTTGCATTTTACTTATGTAAACCCAATAATCTGGAGAGACTGTATGTCTCTAGTGAGCTTTTCGTGTCATCATGAACAAGGTGAGTGACTCTCCTTTTCCCTTGGAGGAAGGTAGGTAGGCGTTCAAGGATTAAATTAATTTCACATATTAAACAATTGAAATCTAGAGAAATAGAACAACTTCTGATTTATTCTTTTGCCTGTGCTTGATTAGGCTGGAAGCCTTTTTTCTAATGTTACTAATTATTTTCTCTAGTCAGGGGAAGAAACCCCAAATCTCGTCACTTTGGGATCACTCCTAACAAAGATTATCTTTGTCTGTTAATTCATTTGTAGAATGAAACAAGCCACACACAGGGCTCCTTAAGGATAACTAACATTTCATCCGATGACAGTGGAAAGCAAATCTCTTGTGTGGCAGAAAATCTTGTAGGAGAAGATCAAGATTCTGTGAACCTCACTGTGCATTGTACGTAATCAGACCAGCATGTGTTTTTAATAGCAAATGATCATGGACACACCTACATTTGTTGTTGGGGCACTCTGGGTGCTGCTTAAGTGTGTTAAAAAAAATGTATGCAGTGTTCTGTGCATACTTAATTAAGAAATGTTATCAGCCTCTTTCACTTGTTCTATTTCTGCTAATCACTCTTCCTCATGCGGTGTCTTTCCCTTGAGCTTCTTTTTCGATCTTAAGCTTGTCCTCTGTGCCTTCCCCTGTCTTTATTTGAAAGAATATATTTGAGCTGGTTACCCTCCTCTTGTTCATAAGTTTTAGCTTAAATTCTGATAAGCTAATTTCTAAATTTTTCTATATAAAAGCAATATTAAACTCTAGAGTTTTGATACCTACAGAATGGGGCTGGCTGTTTATAAACACCTACTTTTACTGTTGATGCAATAAAACCTCATTGGTTTGACATCAAGTTTCCAGGAGAAGGTTGGAGGAGTCCTACTTAAATTATTCAAAGTTATTATCACCTACAAAAGCCTTTTAGTATTATAACTGCTTTAAATTTCTGTATACATTGAAACTAAGATAGAGGGTATTGGTGCTTGTTAAGCATATGTGCATTATTTTCCAGTATTATAAATAACATGATGCATATCTTAACATTCCAGACATAGCATTCAGTGTGAATTCAGTAAAAGTCACATATACTGTTCACATCATTGCAAATCCTGTGTTGGCATGGTATAAATTAATGAGGTTTTATTCTGTTTGAATAAGGATTTGAATGAGGAAGACATGAGTGTGCATGTGTGCATGCACAAATACATACCACACACATGCAGACACTGGTTAATGTTCACTTGTAGCGGGCCTTCGTTATGGGATTATTGGAGTGAATGACTGATATCACCAACCACAATCTTTTGCCAATGCCAGTATTACCACTATGCCCAGTAGATACTGGATTCATAATTTCTCATCATTTTGACCTTCCTGGGAGCCTGAAGTTAGTGTTATCCCCAAACCTACACAATCAGCTTCTGACTTTAATCAGAAGGTCCTTAAATCAGCACCTCACCAAAAGCTCACTTGAGCATAGTGGAATGAATAAGTGTGTCCTGGGCATTGGGGCCTAGGCTGGTGGGAGGAAGGTAAGTGTGGTTCCTACCCCACTGTGGTCCTTGTTTTTGTAACACAGACCTACAAATAAAGACATGCAAATTCAAAATTTTCTCAGTTTATGTTGATATTTATATGGGAGTCATGATCTGAAAAATTAACCTTATCTATCAAAGCTTGGATAAAGAGTAGAAGGAATAATTGATAAAGAATATTAATGACTGAGATAACCTGTGCCGGGATCCCACTCAGAGTGTGTCAGTCATCAGGCCCCAGTTTCTTTCCCTTCGTGTGAGGAATGTGCACAACCAGGAGGCAGCGCACGAGGGGCAAGGCTTCTGGATTGGACCTCAGGAGTCCTGGGTTCTCGTTTCAGATCTGTCTCCCTCAGTGACCTTGACCAAGTTTCTTAACCTCACTGGATTTAAGTTTCTCCATCTGAAAAACGATGCCATTAGGTCTCAAGGGTGCTTTCTAGTCCTTGGTTGTATAATTATCAAACTCCGACCATATTAAAAGAAACAGTTATTAGGGGTTTTTCTTCACTTAGAAAAACCCCTTCACTTAGGATAGTTACTCTGTTTAAGGATGCTTCTTAGTCTTTGTTTCCCAAAGCATAAAATGCTTTATATTTAATGTTCAAATAATCTCTAGCTTGTCCAGGTTTAGATAGAATTTCAGGCATTGAAAGGATCAAAACATTGACATCTGAAATCCTAGCCAAAAAACCCCACCATATTATAATGAAATGCAATGCTTTTAAAGAGCATTTACTATTGATAATCAGTGAAATCAATCAGCATTGGTAGGAACATTTACTGCGTTGATCAATTTGATCTGTTTTGCATAATTTATGTGAGATTTGGGCTTCAGGCAAGATTTCCAAAGTCATCTTAGTCATTATTTGTATTATTTAGTGAAGTACTCTAAAAATAGTGGCCCTCAATGTTTTGATGATCTATCTATATAATATTAAGGCACATAAACCGAAGTCAACTTCAGTTGAACCCTTTCTACTGTCAGAAACCTCTGGGATCTCTTTGGAGCTGGTTCCCACACTGATTAGATGTGAAAAATAGCTGTGATGCATGGGTCTTTGGCAGAGCAGGGAAAGGAATCTCTCTGAAGCTCTCTGTAGGGAGTTGCATCAGCCTTGATGATGATACAAAATATTGCTGGATTCCAGGGTTGCAGGTCATGTGTGTTTTCTTAAACCAAACAATGGGTGAATAAAACCCCCTATCGATGACAGAAATCTGGAGATGGGGAAAATTTTTGAGCTTTCTGATGCTATTAACTCTCTCTTTTTCAATTTAGTTGCGCCAACTATCACATTTCTCGAATCTCCAACCTCAGACCACCACTGGTGCATTCCATTCACTGTGAAAGGGAACCCCAAACCGGCGCTTCAGTGGTTCTATAATGGGGCAATACTGAATGAGTCCAAATACATCTGTACTAAAATCCATGTTACCAATCACACGGAGTACCACGGCTGCCTCCAGCTGGATAATCCCACCCACATGAACAATGGGGACTACAAGTTAGTAGCCAAGAACGAGTATGGGAAGGATGAGAAGCAGATTTCTGCTCACTTCATGGGCTGGCCTGGAATTGATGGTGGTGAGTACCTGATGCTTTTGTATCTGGAGAGAGGATAGGGTCTACTACTCAACTATGGACAAAATCCTGTGTACAACAAACCACCCACCAACCCAGTGGCTTACAACATCATTATTTAGACCCATCATTTTGACCTACCTGGTCTTGCTAATGGGTCTGTAGGTCAGCAGGAGCAGTTTTGTCCCATGAGTCTTTATTCCAGGGTGTAGGGTGAAGAAGCAGCAGCTACACAGAAGATCTGCTTTCTGTGGCGAGTGCAGAGTGCAAAAACACAGCTAGAAATATGCAAGGCTTCTTAAGACCTAGGTTCAGGACTACATGTGGCCTCTTCAGCCCATATACTCTTGGTCAAAGCAAGTCACAGGGCCAAAGCCAAGTCCAGGGACAGGGGACTTATACTCTTCCCAAAGAAGTGATGGGGGAATGCATAATTTTGAACAATGATCTGGTATACACATATTGTTTTTATCCCAAGTGTTTAATGAGATTTTGTAGCCACAATGGCAAGACCCAGGCAAAACCATGAGCAGGAGAACTGTGTGTTTGGCTCCTGAACAATTTAAGACCTATTTTCTAGCCCCTTATCCATTTGGAACTCAGAATGCTCCTTAACTCATCCATGGATGAGAAACCAGTTCCCTGGCATGTTTTTCATACCTGGACTGACTGAATTAAGGCATCCTTTTTATTAGATGTTGTATTGGTTTCTAGGACTGGTAATAGTTTCCATCTGACCAATGGGGTGGGAAAAGGAGGGCTGGCATCAGAAGTCTGCTCTGTGGCCAGCAGCAGGATTTCAGCATGAGCCGAAGTAACAGCAAGCATAGTTGTCAGGCATTTACCGGCTTCAGATCCTCTTGTTCAGTGGAGTATTCATACTTGCTTGGTCTTGTTGCCCAAAGACCTGTTGTATTGTGGAAGCCAAGGCTTGTGTTTGGATATTGGGATCTGTACATAAATTGGATTCCTCATCATAATAGCTCTGAGTTAACCAAAACCACACAAAGATGGCTTGGCAGAGAAAGGGAAAATAGAGACTGGGAGGCCTGTGAAGCAAGGACTGCTTGGGGAGCATAAAGTCCTGTGTCTTGCAGACCAACTCTGTGGACAACGGTGATGCATGCAAAGCCAGCTTCAATGGTCAAGGAATGTGTCATAATTCTTACGACTTGATAAGTGTTCCCGTTATCCTGGTATTTACTAAACATCTATGCAAATGCATGTTTCCTTAGAGTGTTCAAAATGTGATTTGCATTCCATAAGTTTGATTTATAAACAGCCATTCAGGAGTATATAACACAAGCTATGTTTGGATGCCTTATCCAGACACCCCAGGCAATTGTCTTCTCCATTAATTCTTCCTCTTAATTGAGTTTAGCTGCTTGGCTACATTTGCTGTAGTAAATCTCCAGGTTATTGTGTGTGTGTTTTTTCCAGCATGTTTTAGAGAATACAGCTTTTAGTTAAATTCAGAGACTGTGTTTTAGGGCAACTGCTCTTTGTTTGTTTTTAAGTAAACGTATTATTTGTGAATGATTTTAGGCTTACAGAAAAGTTGCAAAGACAAAAGAGGGCATTCCCAGCTGCCTTGCACCCAGTGTTTACTATGGTTGGTACCTTGCGTTACTGCAGTACCTTGGTCAGAACTGAGAGACTGACATTGGTACATTACTGGTAACTGAACTTCAGACTTTATTTGAATTTTGCCAACTGCCTTTTGAAACTGTTGGAGGTGAACTTGATTCAGGGTGAAGGTCAGGCATTTAAAATTTTAGAAGTGGTCTATGTGCTTTGATATATGCACCATTCGGTGCGCGTAGTCAGCAGCTTCTATTTTAGGGAGGATTTTGATGTATTTTGTTTTGAACATTTCTGTGTGGTGCCAATGTTTGGGAGAGCTTAGCTCTTCTTATCCCTGTGGCCTCATTTTTATCAATTATTTCTGTTAGTATGAACCTAGCTAGTGATAGGAAAAAATTGTTTTCTGGCATAAGAATAACTTGGAATCTCTCAAATATTCTCTTTAAAAGAAATAACCATTTATTTATCAAAAATAAAAATTAAGCTCAACTCTATGAAGATGTACTCTGCCCAATTTTCCTCTCCTCTTCTTGTTGATTTATTAGTTTTATCAGGTCTTTAAAATAAAAATATCTGCTTTTCGAAAAGACTGACTTTGTTTTTTCTCTTTAAGTATTTACTTAAGGACCAGCCATCAAGGAGTAATAAATGAAAGTGGAAACGAAAGAGACTTGGCCCAGAGTGAGAGTAGATATAAACGGCCCCCGTGGGCCATAAACCAGTGTGACCAATTAGAGCTTGACCTCGCTTGGCTTGTGTGGCAGAATCTTTGTGGGTATTTACAAGATTTGTAGCCATAGCATGCAGATAATGGCCTTTCTTAGAATTGATTCTTTTCCCTCTCCTCCCTTTTAAAGCTAAAGAAAAATAAACAAATAGCAAATATATGTATATAATTTCCCTGCTGGTCTAAAGATACATTCCAAGTCAAGGACAACAGATCAAGCTGGAGTTTATATGTATTCTGTATTTCTGCTGTCATCACATAGTAATTGATGACAAAGTTTAGCTTTTCCAAATATTTCTGATAAAAAGTTTCAGATATATTTTCTCAGTTATTTTGATGAGATCCTTTTTTTCTTTTTTTAACACTGTAAATTCCCTGGCTTATAAGGCAGCAGCAGCCTGAGATCACTGGGGAGCGGGTTTGCATTTCCATACATAGTCCAAGGAATTAAAATGGCAGCTTTGCTGTCCTTGGCGTGTGCATTCCTCATTCAGCTTGGAACTGAGATTTCCGTGGGATGGTCACCTTGCTTAGAGATTTATTCCCTCTTTGGAGCTAGAGAATGAACTGTGTTGAAAGAAATTAAAACAGAAACAGAAAACAAAAACAAGAAGTCCTTAAAACAGAAATGGGTGAGCACGGAAGAGGATGGACTGATCGGACATAATTGCAGTCCTGATTGCCTTTGCCTTCATGGTGGCATGGTGTAGAAATGGGGGGCGGGGTGGCAGGCGTTCCGCAGTCCACTGGGAGAAAGGATGAGGCACAGAGACCTCTAGCCAGCATCAGCCAGGCCACGAGGGTGCCATCCACAGGGTGGGGAGCAGACAGTAAGGTCCCCATAGAATGTCTTTCCAGAGTGCTGGGACCTTGCAGACTCCAACACCAGACCCAGCTAGGGTGTTCATAAAGGACAGGTGTTATCAGATCTTTAGATGTCTGCAGGACGCAGGATACCAAGCCAAAGCCTTCCCATCTGTTAATCACTGGCAACCTGTCTAGTAACTGAGAAAGGGAGGAAAGTCTTTTCCAAACTCCAGACACTAGATTGATCATTTCAATCCCACATAGAAGTGAACTCATCAGCTCTGTTCAGTTTTGGGTTATGTTCAAAGCATAAAACAGCCTTTGGCTTCAAAATGAAATCTAGAGAAGGATAGTGTTTATCTTTCTAGCATACTGATGAGCACAACTTGTGACAATTAAACTAATTTCATTTTATTTTTGTTTTTCATTGTTCTTTTCAAAGTTATTCACTAGGAGAAATCTCTTCTAATACCTGGAACAATGGCATGCAACTTCTTGCACATTGAAATCAAGTGGGAAGTTTTAATTATTATTTTACTTTATTTCATTTTTGATATGCATTCCTGAGGCCCACGTCCTGCAATTCTGATTCTGTGGCTCTCGGATGAGGCTTGGGATTTGGTGTTCTGTATTTTTAAGATCCTCAGTGACTCCCAGTTCAACTAAGGGTGGCAGTCACTGGTCTGGACTAGAGCTCTGACCTGAGTAAGATTTTCCCACCCATTGTTGAGTAACACACAATCCTTTGGTTATTTTAGGTTGCAGACAAAAGCTCAGCTAGGAAATAGCAAGCTCTGTTTGAGTCAGAAATCAAAACTCTGGACTAAGATTTAAGGGCCAGTCTCCTGTCCTCTCCCAGTTCAGGCAGGCTACATGGGGGTAGGAGCTGGAGCTTGCTAATGAGGTTTCAGCCCCTCTGCTGCCCAGGAGGAAGGGTGGGAATGGACGTGTGCTTGCTGGTGGCTTTGTGTCTTGGGGCCTGAATGTGCTCAGAGCTGATTCATGGACCTTTTACCTGGACCCCTTTATGGGTTCTTTAGAGATTCCACTCTGTGGTCCCGCTTCTATGGTTCCTGTGACAGAAGCAAACACATTTTTATTCCAGCTGGTGGAAGCAACTCCTTCCTCAGCACCCTGGAATGAAGCTTTGTGTTGTTGGGTCCCTCTGCTCCTCCAGGGGGCTCTGTTGTCAGGACCTAAGGCTCCCCACGCAGATTTTCTCCCATGCTGTCTCCCTCTGTTCTTCAAGGAGCCCTTGTGGTCCCTTATTCTGACATCTCTGGGTGTACAGGTCTGACCCAAATGTCACCTACATCCCTCTACCACAGGTTGCTTTAGCCTTCTCTGACAAGGAGTCAGGCACTTGTCCTCTGAGTGTTCTGCCTGCAGGAAACAAGTTCAAGTTTTCAGAATAGTGCTGTGGAAATCCCATGGTACAGTGGGGTCAAGGCCAACATTTCTCCCCAAAGAAAATTCTTTCTCAGTCCTTTCTTATACTCTCTGCTCTGGGACCTCTTAAAGTCCAGTGCAAACAGTGACCCAGCTCTCAGCCATTTCTTTTGTGAATTCTGCAGGGTCATCCCCTAAGCAGCAGGCATTGAGAGAATGATAACGAAGGAACCTCTTCCTCACCTCCTTTGTGTTGATGCTCTGTAGCCATTAGGGTGAAACTTTCTTCCCAGAACCATTTTTCTCTTGGCACTGGCCTTGTCCTCCCTTATCCAGAGAGTGGACTTGCCCAGGAAGGAGGACTTCAGAACTCTGTCACCCGCCTATGTGAACTTTCTAGACTTGGAGCTTTGAGGAGAAAACTAAGTCAAAGGTTGGTTCCTAGAAGGGTAGGGAAATTTAAGCCATCTCTGCTGTCTAAGCTTTTTCCCTTTCT